GATAACTTAGATCCATCAAATGTTTTCAGCATCTTGCCCTCTGCTCAGAAATATGAAGAGAAAAGTCTGGTGGATCGATGCTGGGAAGTGATCGATAAACGGACAGAAGAGGCTGTGAAATCAGATGGGTTTGTGACAATCGAGAGATCCTTACTTGAAGCAGTAGTCGTAAGAGACTCTCTGACGATTGAAGAGATAGAGCTGTTTAAAGCTGTTGACTTGTGGGCGACAAAGAAATGTGAGAGGCAAGGTTTAGCGGCAGATGGTGCTTCAAAGAGAAGATTTCTTGAAGAACACCTAATCAAAGCAATACGTTTCCCAACCATGAAACTGGCAGAATTTGCTAGTGTGGTGTTGGACTGCGACATTTTAACAAAAGAAGAAGTTTTCAGTATTATCAAGCGGTTGAGTTCAGTCTCGAGTTCTCCAGTGGGATTTCCAGAAACAAAAAGATGTAGTAGTCAATTTGAAAGTGATATTCAGCGATGTTGTAGACTTGACTTGCCTTCCGACGTAACGTTCCACCTCTATGGCGCCACAGAGGCCATCAATGTCTCTGTTGACAAAGATATCGTGCTTCACGACGTGTGCTTATTCGGTCAAGAGAATGCTACTTACTCTGACTACTATGTAGAACTAGACATACTGGACTCTTACACTAAATCAGTTTGTGTGTCTAAAACTGGACGATATACCTCAGAGCTATTAAAAGGAAAGAATTATAACTATAACGGTTATAGGGTGTCGTTTGACAAAAAGGTCATTTTAAAGAAAAACACTAAGTACGACATAACGGTAAAGATTTCAGGGCCTCCTTCGCTACAGGGAGAAGGCGGTGTCAGTTCTGTCCATTGTTTAGGAGTAACATTCATATTTATGAATAGTGAATACTCATAAAATGGCATGGACGTTTATGTTGGTCACATTCCCGAATTGTTGTTTTCTCTTTATAAACGATGAATATTTTGTTGATATGTCGCAACTCGATTAGGTTTTTAGTTATCCTGTGTAAATTAACCTAATTTTTGAATTAAAGTATTATCTTATGTAAAGCACGCCTAAGTTTTATGTGTTAATAAGTGTTTCTTTTTTCTTTTCAGATAAATAAAAGCTCTGTTGTAACAGATTGCTTATCAATAAAACTGAGCGGGAAAGTTGCGACGGTTTATTTCCTGAGGAAACCGAAGTTTTAGTTTCCACTCAAACTAGTAAAATGCCTTTCTAATTAACGGTTCCGTCATACTCGTGGGCAAATTCAGCACATATATTACATTGGGCTGCAAGTCAGCGGCACGTTTAAAGGGCGTCAGGTCTACATGATACGTTTGTCGTTACACCTTAGCGCTGTTCTCTCATTATCTCTTTGTCGTTTCAAGCCATCTAAAAATGCCATCAAAGGCATAAAGTGAAAAGCCAGATGGAATTTTTAGAGGATGTTTTGGTGGCTTTTTAAAGATCACATAAATGAGAGATTGGTGGATTTAAAGAAAATAAGGAGAGATCAGGATTTAATGAAGATTTAAAATTAAATATTTTGGTTAATAATTGATACATAGACACCAAACAAAAGACTACCCACAACCTGAGGTGTTCTTGTACTGGGGGGGGGGNTGTCATTCCTCCCTTAACTTTAATCCGGCTTCATAAAAATTAAGCTATATCCCCCACCCTAATTTTCTCATCGGTGTACTATCAGATTAAAACGCCTCTATTCTGTTATTCACAATGAATTTCATCATAGTTTTTGTCAAAGTAGTCTGTGGATTCGCTATTCTTCGCCTCGTGGACCTATAGCTACTTTGGCAAATGACTGTCAATAAGGAGACACAGGCACATAAAACAAACGTCAATTCGTTGATTCTACTCGCGAATGTAACTCGGTCACGTAATCTTAGTGAATGATTTTTTATTTTAATTTTTTAATCCAGAGGCACTCGCACGTGAAATCTCGCCATCTATGCAGGCTACATGTTGTGCTTCTATCGTTCACAAACACTCCAAATAAATCACACCCTGAGGCATAATTGACCAGTCTTGCATGCTATTGTGTTTCAAGTCTTCAACTGTTTAAGGTGGATGGCAACAGTTTCCAGAACTTTCCAAGACTTTAATATGCCATTATAACCACTGTTTATCATGTTGATGCTACAAAAGGCCATTTTGTCTGTTAAGTTACCTGGCCTATGAATGCGAGCAAAGCTGGAGGTGACCTTGCTTTGATACAAACCTCTCTGCTTTTCTCATTTAAATGAAAGCTAGTTAGTATATGTAATGGGACTACATGCTGTCCAATTTCGAAATAATTGGATGAGAAAAATTCCTCGGATTGCCAAATTGGACGAGGCCGTAAGTCGAGTCCAATAGCCCAATTTCGATATATTAAAATTCAGCCTAACACAATAGACCTCAGCACGAGGTTCTGGGGAATAAGCCCCACAAACTCTGCAGTTATTCCTCAGAGCCTCGTACTGAGGTCTATTGTTTTAGGCTGAATTTTAATATATCGAAGTTGGTCTATTTGGCAGTCCGAGGAATTTTTTGAATCCAGTTATTCCCAAATTGGACAAGCATGTAGTCCTATTACCTATTAATCATATAGCATCCAAAAATAGATGAACATGGCGAACTTGAGGTCTCGTAGTATGCTGTAACTAGTACTCTTGCTGTTGTTCTTTAGAAGGCGGTCTAAAGAGCCTTGCATAACAGCAAGGCTATCTGGCTCGTATTCATCTCCGTTTTGCCTTCTTATCTCTGCATAAAATCGGCAAAGAACGTCGTCAAGCTCGTCTTCGAGAATCTCCTCAACCTTTCTCACTTCCCCTTGCCACAGGTCAAACACTTTAACCCAGGTTTTTGTGCTTCTCTGAAGGTTCTTGTTCTGATTATTTTCCCTTATCTCGAGTAAATCAGTAGCATCTATCTCTGGAAACCTAGCTGAAGACACCATTTGAAAGTTTGAGACGTCAAAAAGGTGGAGAGAGGCCTGGTCACTCAGACAACTGTCAAATGGTCTATTATGGTATCAAAAGAACTGCCCAATCATTGGTGAAGATGATGTTATTATTCTCGTGAAAAAATAAGTTACGTACTAAAAACACCCTCAATCTTAGCTTTAACTATTGATAACTCAAAAGTAAGCTCGGTGACCCACATTTTTTATTATCGACTTTTGATTAAAGTATTAAAAAATTCTGTACAGGGCGCCCAAAGCCACCTTTAATTTTGAAAATTTATGGTCCTCTGTTTTTTGCTCCCATGACTTTGATCCAATTTTATAAAAATTCTTAAAAATTTAAAGAAAATATCGACCACTTGTGAACATAATTTCAACTCCACCAAAGTTCGCCAAAAAATAAGCTTTGTTCGAATCCTTCACAAAAGACTGTTTGGTAACTTTATTTAACTTAATGTATGTACAAACAAGTTCTCCATACCTAGCATTAAAAGCAAGGTGTGCCAGTAAATGCTTAGAAAAGAATACTTTTGTTTAGATAAATGGTCCGTTGTAAAAGATTGCGTATCAATACAATTAGACAGATAACAACCGATAACAAACAGGAATCACTAAGCATGGCAGGTCACACCAACTGACTCCTTGACGGCATTTTGCTATTAATTTTAAGTAGCTTTATGTCCAAATTTTTTAACCTCGGCTATTGTCTCTAATTGCCACATACATTTTATCACGAATCTACACGGTCTAGCAACCACAATTTGTCTTCGTTTAAACTATGTCGATTTCACCGGACAAATCATGTCTCTCGTCGAGACAAACTAGCAAACAACAAGACCCACCATCAGAGAAAAAAGCACGTTTATGTTCAACAACGATCTCTTCAGCGATGTGAAGTTTGTTGTCGAAAAAGTAGATGACAAAAAGTGGAAGTAAACAAGTGATTCCTGCTCACACGTTTGTGCTGTCGATTAGCAGTCCTGTGTTTGAAGCCATGTTTTACGGTGAGCTGGCGGAGACTACAGACTCTATTGAACTGCCTGACTGTGAGTACGACAGTCTGCTGGAGTTGTTTCGTTACATGTACGGTGATGAAGTGATCTTGAGCGGAAGTAATGTGATGGGAGTGTTGTATTATGGTGTCTCCACTGGCTGATAAATGCACCGAATATCTGCACGATAACTTAGATCCATAGAATGTTTTCAGCATCCTGCCATCTGCTCAGAAATATGAAGAGCAAAACCTCGTGGATCAATGCTGGAAAGTAATCTCAAAGTGAATGGACAGAAGAGGCTGTGAAATCAGAGGGATTTAGCATCATTGAGTGGTCTGACTTGAAGCACTTGTCATGTATGGCAATCTGAATATTGAAGAAATAGAGCTGTTTAAAGCAGTTGACTTGTGGGCAACAAAGGAATGTGAAAGGCAAGGTTTAGCAGCAGATGGAAAAGCGAAAAGAAGAATTCTTGGAGAACAAATAATTAAAGGAATACGCTTCCCAATAATGGATGAAAAAGAATTCACTAGCGTGGCTTTAGACAAAAATATTAACACAAGAAGAAGTCGTCAGTGATATGAAACGTCTTAATTCAGTCCCGAGTTCTCCAATGGTGTTTCCAAAAATTAAAAGATCTGTTTCAACCGGTGACATACAACGATGCTGTAGATTTAACTCGTTATCAGACCGCAGATGGAAATATGGCCCCTCGAGAGATCAAGATTGTATCTTATTTTTAGTGGACAGAGATACCAAGCTACTCGGAGTGTGCTTATTTGGTAGTGAGAATAATACTTACTCCGTAGAACTGGTGGTAAGGGATCTCAAACGTTTCAAAGTTTTGGTCCTTAAAACCGGAACATTTTCCTCAGAGCTATTACAGGGAAACAAATTTACCTATTTTGGTGTTAAAGTCTTGTTTGACAACGAACAGGTTCTTTTACAGAGAAAGACCTTGTACGAAGTAGAAGCTAAAATAACTGGCCCTGATTCGACGTGTGGAGACAACGGTGATCAGTTTGTCACATGTTCAGGAGTAACTTTTAAATTTAGTAACACTTTATTCAGTAGTAATGGAACAAACATCCAACAGGGTCAGTTTCCCGAATTAATGTTTTCTCTATAAATTCATATCAATTTTTATAATATGTCGAATTATTCTCGTATTTTGATTGGCTCAGTCTTTCTTATGGAGGAGTTGTATCGCAACCCAAGTCAAGTTCGAGTCAATTTTTATTTTTATTCGCTTTTCCTTTTTTAAGACCTACACTGCGCCGGATCAATTTGAGAACGGACCAATCATCTGCAAGGATTTGTGTTTGAGGAAAACTCGGTCATGGAAATCACATGATTACCGTGACATCATCGTTTTCGAAAAGCTCCGTTTTCGTGACGGATTAGTGTGGACGGTAGGCCTAACCGGAGAAATAAAGTTGCGCTTTCAAATTCCTCCCGCGTAGTGTGGAGAAGGCCATAGTTTGACTACAACTGTTATTGTAAAACAAATTGTCAGTTATTTTTCCCAGTTATGCGCTAGTGAAAATCGACCTTAAAAGTTCTTGATTATTGGACTGTACAGACTCAAGTTTCACATTTTAGCAGAATTCACACTGTTCTTTCAAAAACTTGTTACAATAAACTTCCTCTAGTGACTCTCAATCTGCGGGGTTCTTAACATGTTGAAATTTGGTTCAATCTCAGCCTCAATGTTCTTAAAAAAAGATTCTACAAAAAAGTTAAAATTTGTCCCTGGAAAATAGAATTTCGATGTCTTTACTTTCGATTTAAATCATTTGCAATTTATCACTGACTTTAAATAGTGGGGAGGAGTAGACTGGAACTGATAAACATTAACCCCCTCCAGGGTCATGTGGAGAAGGCCATGGGGTCATGTGACCAGCCCAGCCATGTAATCTCGAGTGTTATCTCGATTTCATCTGCAGAAA